GAGTTATGGTCGTTTTTTTTAATTAGCCAATTTTCAAAAAATACCCAAGGCTATAGCCCATGGTTTTTTCTAAAAAATGGCTCCGAAATTACCCCAAATTTTTATTACATTTCCTGATACATATTGATGTCCTTATGCTGTGTAGAAAGTTTGAAGTGATTCCGACTGAAATTTTTTGAGTTATGGTCATTTTTAAAAATCGGCCAATTTTCAAAAATTACCCTGTACTATAGCCCATAGAACATAACGACCACTCTAGGGTGAGTGAGTCTCTATTATACTCTAACAATAGCACAATAACCCAATTACTGTATAAATACAATTACTGGTGCTACATATAATCCTATTGCAAGTGATTATGATATCCTGATACAGTAGTAATGGGTGTACATGTACATTGTGGATTTTGATTGAGTGGCTGAGGTCAGTTCAAAGCAACCAGAAGTGTTGTATGACAATTGTTTAATGTAAGAGTACAAGTATAGCAACACGAGTTAAGAGTATTTGAGGATAACAGACCTCAAAGAAAAGTTTTTTTTTCTTGCTATTGTGTGCTACAGCACTTGTGATTACAAAAAAAATTGTGAGCTGACCTTTATAGAGATTGGTCTTGTAGGCTCGTATTTAAAATGCTAATTGACATAAAGTGGTGTTGCTATTACATATTATATGCTCAAGCTAATAGTATGCTTTTTGATTGCTTAGAAAACTCAATTTCTCCTTCGTTTTCAAGCTTTCATTTCGCTTGCATTTTCAATGTATAAATTTAAACTTTTGTTTCTACAACAGGGATAGGTGACTTTTCAGTTTGCAGTCATTATAATACACTATAGTCATTACAATGCAGGCTTTATACATGTGCTATAGTATAATTTTGTATGCCTGATATTCTCCACTGTACAAGTAGAAATACATGTACATTGTACATGTAATTAAGAAGTGTCGTTAGTCAGAATATTAATGTAACTAACTTAAGCCTGAGGATTTGTTTTGAATATACAAATCACTTTATTATTTATTATCATCACAAACTATAGTACATGCCAAATACTCTACAGCCAAATAGTTGTAATTCCAACCAAAATTAGTCAGTGCTCAGTAAAATGTAGTACATGCCATGAACTAGTAGTGGTACGTGTAGAATATTAAAATGTAGTATATGTACTACATTAGTATTATACTATATTGCTGGAAAGTTTTGTGTCGAAAAACTTCTGATTTTTGTTTAGAATGATACCACGAAGTTTAAAACTGTGAATAGGCTGAAAATGTAGAATTAAAATGTAGTACATGCCATGTAGTGGTAGTAGTTGTAGAATATTGGATATTTAATTGAACTGTCTATAGACATTAGAGGTAGTTACTGATTTACACTGTCAGTGTGTCATGCATACATATGTACATGTACATGTACTGTATAGTGGGTACTGACAGTGGGTACTGATACATGTACATGTACATGTATGTACATGTACATGTACGTATGCATGCATATACATGTACATGTACTGTGTTGTGGGTACTGTAAATGTTTAATAGTCCAGCGTTTATTTAAATTCGGCTTCTGTTGTTAAAATATTTTTAATAATTTTTGAGGTACAGTGTAGCTAATGCATGGTAACTTGTATAAATAAATTATTGTATTTATTACATGTACTACTTTTATTAATCTATTGTATACTAAGTGTCATAATAAACCACATGTACCACACCAAAGGAATTATAGCAACACCACAATACAATAATAATAATAATTTAATAGCTCAAAATTTCACTAGTTTAATGTATTTTTCCAAGGGAGTTGTCTATTAAAATATGGCAGTCATTTGAGGTCAGCTTTTAGTCATTTGCTCAATGAAATATGATAACGTGTTAATATGTGGGGGAGTATCATGTCCTGTAGTATAATCTGTTTATGTAGTTTGTTATTTTTTGAGTGTTTAATGTATTTTTATCAGATGTTACATGTACATGTATTTATTAAACATTACATGTATTTATATTCCAGAGCTTCTTTTATGTCGAAAAGTCTAACAGTTGACAACAGCACAATCAAGTTTCAAATATGGGATACAGCTGGACAGGAGAGAGTAAGTCACACAATAAATATATTTTATTTATTATCTTTATTCTTTTTTATCTCTTCTAATTAGTATCGGTCGCTATTACCAATGTATTACAGAAATGCAGCAGCAGCCATTGTTGTGTATGATATAACAAATGAAGTAAGAATAATAATAATTATAATTTTTAATAAAAGTTGGAAAAACGGAGACAAAAGATTACCATATAGGGAGAAATTTTGGAGGAAGTTAATTTAAACTTTAGTGATTGACTAATTTTAATTTGTCAAGTTTGTGGCCCTGTGCCATTGAGCATGTTGCTCAATGGCACAAATTTAATTAATTTTTGCCAAATTTAATTCCCTCCAAGATTTCCCACTATACAGTATATAATGACGTGCAGAATATAGAATAAAAAATAAAATATATAAATAGAATATTTTGTGGCCCAAAATTTTTTGTGGCCCAAAATTTTTTGTGGTTCTGTCTAAAAAATCTGTTTTGTGGCTTTCATTTTTGTGGTTTTCTACTTTTTGACCACAGATTTTATTTTCATGAATTTTGTAAAAAATGCGAAATATTATTTACATTTATTGTTATTATTATTTATTATTATTGTTGTTGTTGTTATTATTATTATGTGCATTGTTGTACATGTAGGGATCATTCACAGTGTTACAGGATTGGATAGCAGAACTACACAGACTAGGTCCACCTAATATTGTATTAGCAATTGCTGGAAATAAATGTGACCTTGAAGATAAAAGAGAAGTATGACTAGTATAATTGTATGTGTACATAAGAGCATTGAAATCTAACAAAAATTTGAGATGATTTTGAAGCCATTTTTCCAAAAACCATAGGCTTATAGTCTTGGGTATTTTTCAAAAATTGGCCGTTTTAAAAAATGGTCATAACTTGAAAAATTGAAGTCGGAATCTGCTCAAACTTTATACACAGCATATAAGGACATCAATATGTATCAAAAAATGTAATAAATCCTTTTCTCTCTCCCTCTCTCTACTACACTCTCCTTTTATCTCCTCTCCTTTCTCTCCCTCCTCCCTTCTCCTCTCCTCTCAGATTCCAGCTGAACAAGGTCAGACTTATATATGCATCAGAAGTTAATGCCATATTTGGAGAGACTAGTGCCCTCACTGCTAGGAATGTTGAGGAAATGTTCATTGAAATAAGTGAGTAGCTACTAATGATGTACTGTAGTATGCACTATTGTAACATAATCTCTCTCTCTCTCTTGTCTCATAGCTCGTAAGTTACCACCAGATTGTTTAACTAGTTTACCAGCTGGTGCCTCTCTCTTAAGACAGACTGATACACCACGTGCTAAGGGAGGATGCTGTGGAGGAGGGGGAGGGGACAAAGGACCATCATAATAGTTCAATTTTAATAAGATAGTAAATTAATGATTATTATTATTATTGTTATTATTATTATTATTATTTTAATAACAACTGACACATGTACTGCTTGCCCAATAAGCTGGTTGTACTATTCTCTTCTATTTTATTTTAATTGTCTTTAATTTCAATAATAATTTATTATTAAAATGGGTGAATGCAATTATTATTATTATTATTATTATTATTATTATTATTATTATTATTATTATTATTATTATTTTGTATTTACTTGTTTTTGTACGTGTTTATCATAAATCACTTCGTTAATTATTTTGTGTTTAAATTAATAATTATTAAATAATTGATGAGTCGGCATTTTCAATAAAAAGCAAAATACAATTGATATTAATAAATAAATATTACTCTATCTTTTATAATATTATAGTCATGGTATTCTGTGCATGTGTCTTTGTCTTTCATACTTAGATAAAGCTTGATATTTTTATTAATTGTTAATGATTGAAGAATTATTAATATTCCATCAGATGATATTGAAGTGTTTCTTACTTCTAATCCAGTTAATGTTGAATTGTTGATGATTAGTTCAGAAAGAGACTGAGCACTAACTGAAGTAATACCAGGATTCTTATAGAAGGTTAAACTTAAAAGTGTGTTATTGTGTGTTTGTAGTACGTTTGTAATATCAGCAACTGCTTTGTCATCAATGGAACAGTTAGTAAGAAATAATTCTAATAATGATTTATTATTAGCCAGTAAGTTACATAAGGATGAGATGCAGTCCTGTGTTAGTTGAGTGTCTTGTATTCTCAAGTATTTCACCTTTTCATTTTGTAATAAAACTGGCAACAGATCACACACAATGTCAGGAGATGATTCCTTGATGACAATGTTCCTATGTTTGTATGTTAATAGAGAAACTACTTCTTGACATTGTATTAAAGATGGAGAGGTCAGTTCAACACCATCATCATACCACCTAATTGCTTTAGGTTTTCCTGAATACATAAACAAATTATAATTAATTACTGTATTATCAAGTATAATTCTCTACTATTATATTTTTAATGGCTGATGCAAGCAACAATTATGTATAGCTGTTATTTATTTGGATTTTATGATGTACAAAAATTTGTATTTTGCCAAAAAATGTCATACGGAAATACTAAATTTTGCTTGCTGAAACATCAAAATTTTGATCTTAAAAATATAGTTTTGCAGATCATGGACAATATCTAATACCCTCAAAATACTCTATAGATTATTAGTACATATAAATATATCTTACCATGTTCTTTTCTAAGTTGATCTAGCAGAACTGAATCTTGTTTAATTAATGATAAAAAGAGACTTGCTCTCTCAACGTTGCTCCTCATCTTAATTTCCTTGATTTTAGGTATGTCAACATTTTCTGTCATTGCATAATGAAATAGTTCAAGTGATTCCAACGTTGACAGTTCACTCTCTTCATCTTTTTTAATATGAGCAATATTAACAAATCCCTCTTGATCAGTATCTAATGATCTTGCTAGCCACCATCCATTAGTACGCTCTTCCTTGATCTCAAGTTTCTCTCCTTTCTTGATTGAAAGCATAGTACTAACCCTTCCCTCCCAGTCTCTAATAGCTACATAAACTGGTCCTTTGGGTGGATCTATTGATTGTGTAGACTGATCCTTTCCTAAAATACCAGTACTAGTCATTATGTTGATATAATGTAATACATACTAAGAGTAATTGAAGTTTCTTTCAGTTTTTGTATATTCATTAATGATATCTTTTCCTGTATCTGTTCTATCTCCTTTTCTCTTTCAATTAATGTTTTCTCTACTCCAATTAATGTTTCTTCTATTCCTAGTCATTAATAACTGATATTAATACAAATCAAATATTTGTCACTAATTTAAGAAACGTTAAAAATAAATTATGTATTATTTAATTGCATGTAAGAAGGGCCAGTATTAGTATTGAGTATATACAATCATCCTCCTACTATAACAAATTAATGTACAAGCAATAATGATACTCTAAACACAGTTGTACTCTATTCTCATTATACAGTATTAAGTATGTCTGTATATATACCTGTTTTGCTTTGAAGAGATGATCGTAAATGATCTATTTCCATTTGCATTGCTTTTGTCATCTTCTTTTTACTCTCTTCCTTCTCAGGCTCTAAATAGTAAAAATTAACCAATTAAATTATTAGCAACAACAATTCAGCTACATGATGTATTTATTCAAAATTCATGCACATGACAATATTCATAGATATCATGTCTCAAAACATGAATCTCATTATACCTGATGATTGTATTGATGACTTATTGCTTTCATCAACTTCTCTACCTTCATATGAGATACCTTTAAATTATCAATAATTATAATTAATAATAATTAGTATATACCTAATGTGTCTATTGTACCCTTCAATTTAGCATTCTCCTCAAGTAAATCATCTCTTTCACTCTCTACCATCTCCAGTTTCTTCATTAGACTCTTCACCTCCTATC